GGGGGGGGGGAGATGGCACCGGGGGGCGATAAAACCGAGGAACAAACATTTTACAAAAACGATCGCGCCCGGTGCCATCTCTCCGACTATTACGGTACGTCGTTTTCGGACTTTCACCTACAAGCTTTTTGTTCCGCTTACAGAGTAACCGCCACGATTGAAGAGAGGGTCCGCAGAATATTGAATGCTCTTCGGGCGAGACCCCCCGCACAAAACTCGACGAAAATAGCATCCACTCTGGCGGACATCGCCGGTGTGGGACAAGGGTTGGCACGGATGGTGGCCGCCGAGAGGCGGAAGTTGTCCCGCCAGGCACACAGCAGGGCCTAGTCCGGAGACAGGCGAACAAAGGATCGCCAACGCCAACACAAAGGAAACGCATGAGCGTCGCAGGGAGCCTATACCGACAACATGACTGTTACAAAAGGCAGCCAGCAGTTTCCACCGCGACGGTCTGCACCCCCAAGTCGGCACGAGGCCCCTTCACAGGTTCCACAGGAAGTTGTGAACGCGATATCGCTTGGGCTTCACCGTCAGGATCAACGGACGGCAGCGGTCGGTCGCAGCCTCGGACATAAACCGCTTCACTTTAGGCCACGAGAGCTACACCAAGAGTTGGCAGACGGTTACGTCCACAAGATATGGTCAGCTGAGCTGGGCCTCGCCAATAACACTTGTGTAGCGGCGCTATGCAGAGGTATTGGTGAGAACCAACTTAGCTGACCAGATCTTGTGGACATAGCCGTTTGCCAACTCTTGGTGTAGCTCTCGTGGCCTGAAGTGAAGCGGTTTTATGTCCGAGGCTGCGACCGACCGCTGCCGTCCGTTGATCCTGACGGTGACGTCGGAGCGTTCTCGATGTCACGGTTCGCAACTTCCCACGGGGCCCGTGAAGTGGCCTCGTGCCGACTTGGGGGTGCAGGCCGTCGCGGTGGAAACTGCTGGCTGCCCCTTGTAACCATCAACTTGTCGGCAAAGGTTCCCTACGACGCTCGTGCGTTCCTTGGCTTCGGCGTTGGCGATCCTTTGTTCGCCTGTCTCCGGCCAAGGGCCTGGCGTACAATACCTCGCGGGACATTTGCCGCCTATTTACGGATGGTTCTTTCTCTCTCTCGGTAGTTTGCAGTCGGCCCCCTCGCGCACGATTCCGCCGCAACGGTTTGGACAACAGGCTTCCACATCCGCCTTGATCATGGTTGTGACTCGAAACCTACCACGGGAGTATCTCGACCGCGACCCATGTTTGCAGGGCCATCAGCCACTACTTTCGATCGGACGTGTGTGTGTTTCGTACGATCAGACCCATTGTTCTGGTTCTGATTGTGAACCTGCCGAAACAACCCCCCCCTAACCGAATGGCATGCGGATCTAACTCATATCCAACAGTCAAGTTCCGACCCGCCCCCGTATCCAGGAAAGCCACGCACCTTAGCGACGTCTTATACGGCAACCGAGCAGTAGTCCACCGGCCTCTAGCTCACGAAGCTGGGGTTGTTAATCACGATCCACCTCACGCCCTTCACCGAGAAAAACGGGCGCTAGGTGCATCAAAGAACCATTTTTTGTTTTTTTTACTGGCATCCTTGGCGTTCGCAAAAGGCAGGGGGGGCAATCGTTGAACAAAAAAAAAATCGAGGGACGAAACGTCTCCCCTGGCGATTTCGGAAATGGACAAGGGCAAAGGGATCGCTTGAGGGTTGGTGAATCTCAACCAATCGTGACAGCGTGACTCGCATGGTTGTAGCCAGGAGTACCGAGGTGGTGCTCGAGTTGTAGCTGCCAAGTGCTTGCCAGCTTTTGGATGGGAGTCAGAACAATCACAAAAGCAACAAGAGCAGCAACAACACCGGTTCAGACGACCTCCACCACGTCCGCTGCGAGGTTCATCGTAGTCAACCTTGCTTGTCCATCCCGTCCGCACTCGGGCAATAATGTACCCAGGTGCCTGTCGATACCGTGATTGACGTACTACAGAGTACGGTCCGTGCACAACAATTTGTCCAAAAATTTCCCGCACAAATGACAACTTTTCTCTGCACACAGGTGGTTGCTCCGAAATCCGAAAGTACCGGCAAACGCCCTGTTTCCAGGCGCATCGCGTGACGGAGAGTTTTTTTCTTTGTTATTGTTTTACCTTGACTTTATGTGCTCGAAAAACCGAAAAAAACTTGTTTTGTTTTTCCTGGGGTGTGTTGTTTGCCGATGCCAAAAAACTCAACGGATTCGAACAGATCTCGCAATTTGCCACACTTTTTTTTTTTCAAAATATTCAAAACTGACGAAGATATCGCCCAAAAACCTGATATAGAGCACCAACTTGTTTTGTTTTATATAGTCCGCGCAGAGCAATTTGTCCAATCACTTTTTGTGCGATAACTGTTTTTGCAAAAAGAAATGAAACATGAAACAACAACAGTCGTGACCGCCTCGTTGAGATACATATGTCGATGGCCGCAGAGTATTTTTGATTTTGCCGATTTGCAACTTTTTTTGACCAAAAGGATCCACTGTGCCCCCTAAATATACATACCCTCCATTATCATCTCCGAAGCCCCCTCACCCCCCCCAGACTCCCCCCTGCCCCTGTACAGAGACTGCTTTGTACACCACGGACACTACATGTTTCCATTTGTTCAGATTCCACGAAGAATGCCTTGGACACCCGGTAAATCAAGCAATAAATAGCGGCCGAAACCCCGTACTAAGGCCATTTGTTACGATGTCTTTTTTAGGCTGTCTTTTTTTCCAAAAAGAGACGACCCAAAAAATGATAACAAAAAAAGGTGACCCCTGTGTTACGACGTCTTTTTCTGAAGGTGGGGTTTCTTGATGATTTTCACCGGCGTTCGGTGTGCCGGAGCGAACTGATTTTTGAATTTCCGCCTTCACCCACGCCACAGACCGCGCACAGCACAAAACACAACGCCCCTCTGCACCAGCTCCTCTGCACACAGCCACATCCCGTAAAGCAGACCATGGATGCTATGAAACTAGATGGCGTACAGTCTCTCCCGCTGGAGTTCAACTCGTACGCTGAGACAGTGATTTCGATGCTGCGGGACAGGAGCTCCGGCCTGACGGACGCCAAGTTGCTGAAGCACCTCCAGAACGTGTGCATCGTGTACGCGTGCTTGGCGGTCAAGCGCAACGCCGGGATTGTCTCCACACAGGCCAAGCACGCGGCAGCGGCGCAGGGGTACAAGGACATCGCTGTCCCTGGCTTCTTCAAGTGGCTCCAGGAAAACTTGGACAAGGAGGATTTCTTCTTGCAGCCGTGGCTCACGTTCGAGGTCATGGGGAA